TGCTGTTTTTCTTCTATTTTTTATGTGCACATCTTCAGTGCAGTAAAGTTTCACAAATTAAAATTATTTCTGAAATGTTACTTCTATTTTTAAATACACATTAAGAAAATATGTAAACATCAATTACAATAAGATGTTTTCCATTTTTTTTTCTAAACTTACCCTAGAGATCGGATAATTTCCATTGGTAGAGGAAAGATAATTGTTGAATTTTTTTCAGCACTAAAATATGATAAGTATGTTGAAAATGATTGCATTGTTAATTAACCGAATAAAAATTTGTTTTATTTAGATGCTTAAAATTTACTGTATTTTATTATTAACAACTATTATATAGTACTCAATTTGAAACATTCATTAGCACGAAAAGAAAACCAGCAATTAATTCAGAACTACTTAATATCAAAAAATTAGGTCAAAAATCAAAATTTTATTTACCTTATAGAATTCAGTGTCTGCAAATAACGAAGCTGTATAGCTGATGGCGATTCTGCAATAACCGCAGCTGCTTCACTTAATGCATGCGATGCATTCTGCTCTCCTTCAGCAGCAATTACCTGTGAATCACTTTCAAATAACAAATCTCAAAACATGCGAAAAAAAAACCTGTTAAATGAATGAGATTTGTAAGTAAAAAAATAAGTTCATAAGTTTAATTGAGATTAACTTTTTTTTTTGCAAATCTTTTTTTTTTATTATCCCTCTATACTTTACTATTGGTTAAGCAAATTCCAAAAAGCGAAGAAGCACAGTGAATAGACTTGACAAATAAACCTGTTTTAATCTGATAGACTAGCTTATTTTGTATAACTTTTGCCTCATCGTAAAAGTTTTTTCTCAGTTAGATAATTCTATGCTTAAAACATAGCAAATAAAACTTATTTGAAAATCTTACTTTGATTATTGTCAATAACACCATTCAGGTCTGTAAAAAGTAATTGCTGTGAAGAAATCTGCATTATAACACTTTGCACCGTCGCAGTTGACAAGATCAGTTTTTTATCATAATGTCTCAGTTTTGTCTTATGTAAGACATTTTTAGGAAGACCGCTTTTCTAATTTTTAGCTAGTAGTTTGCAAAATTTTGTCGCAGATTAAAAAAATTTGAAAAGTTAGAACCAAGTGAGTTTTTGTATTAACTTAATGTATACGTACGTGTGATTTCCAAGAAGCGACAAAATAATTGTCTTTTTTATGAGGTAACTGAAAGTGCAGAACGTATATCATTATTTTTTTTCTTAATAGACTCAACCAATTCTAAAAAAAAAAAAGCTCAAAAATAATTGTTATGCTAATAAAAAAGAGCCTGTCATTTTGAAAAAATTTTCTTGATATATCATTTCACATTTAAAACAGTTGTTTTTTGGGTCATTATATGTCCAGCATAAATTTTTTATACCCTCCTCTTTAGCAGCTTATGTCAGAATACAGATTAGCAGTTTTTTTTATTACAGTGCTTTAATCGTGATTTGGCATTTCAAAATACTTATCAGGTTTTAAAATTGAAAAACGTACTCTAGCTCTAGCGTCTCGAGCGGCCTCAGCTTCAGCTGCCATAGCCCTCTGAAGCTGCATCGGTAAACGAACATCTTTAATTTCTACTCGTTCCACCTTAACGCCCCAAGGGTCTGTAGCTTCATCTAGGGTGGCCTAGAGAAAAAGCAATTATATGCTGAAGTTACCCTAACATATTTTTGCTATAGTATATAAAATAAAGTGGAAGTTAAGCCATTTTCAAGTGGCCCACTTTTGAAAATTGATTCCTTAATCTGACAGAAACCTGCATTTGAAGTGAAATTGCTTCACGATCTGAGAGCATTTCTGCGAGCGTCCGAGTGCCAAGAATGTTTCGTAAAGTAGTTTGCGCTAAAAGCTTAGTAGACCTAGACGCATCTTCTACGTTCACTACTGATATCGTGGCATTGGATATCCGAAAATAAACTACAGCATCAACAGCCACCGTTACTGAGTCTTTTGAAAGAATCTGGAAGACACAGTATCCAATAAAAAAAACTAAACGTTTTTTTTAGTAGCAAAACAGTAAATCTTACAAACATTTTGAATAGAAATAATATACACTTTTTTATTCAAATGAAGATTGCATAAATGCACAAACTTCTTGAGGAGGTACATCGAACGAAACCACACGTAAATCAACTTTTCTATAGGAATCGATACACGGAATAATAAAAAAAATGCCTGCAAAAACAAAATTTATTTTTTGTGTATCACAGTCAACGAGCTGAACAGAACTTTACAATTTAGAATTTCCAAAAACTTCAAAAGTTCATCATTGATACTGAACACAGAAAAACTACAGAGATGGCAAACACAAAAGCAATTCTACGCATTCTAAATCTTCACTGTAATACTTATCTACATCTCTGTCAGAAAGTGTCAAAAACGCTAAAGACTGACTGTTCCACTTTTTTCTGCACAGAAAACAAATCATTTTTTTTTTGTAGAAAAAAGTGTCAACGATAAACGTTTAAAAGTAAACCATTCAACCTACCTGGTCCTCTAGTTCCGCCGGCCATCAGTCGACCTAACCGAAAAACAACAGCTCGCTCGTACTCCTGTACAACCTCAAAAAATCACGCAAATTACGGTGAAGTAATTAATTTTAGACAATGATGAAATACTAAAATTGCTGAGAAAATTGCATGAGAATTCAAAATTTTCACTTATTTATAACATATGTGAATATCGCTGTAATTCAATATCTTTGGCCTATTCCTATTATAGAAAATTTGGCATCCAGAAGCCACCGATGTTTAGCTTTCTTCGCTGCAGCATTAGTCGTCACTTCTTCATGGTGGTCCAATACCTTAAACTGTCCCACCGGCGGTGTGAACGAGACCCGCAAGCAGGCCAAGCAAGAAGCGGGTTAATAGAAAATGAAGCTATATATAATTAGTGGTTTTCTTTTTTCACACGTTCTAAACTTGTCTCGAACTTAAATTATTAATACATTTGCATTTTAATACTTTCGGCGCCGTTTCAAGGGTAAAGTTTAAACGACGTTACGTCACGCACCGTTAAGGGCCTCAAACATTTAGCCTAGCAAACACCATTTCCTGTTCGCAAACAGTTAAAACGACAGAATCAGAAATCGGCTCCACCATCGTTAGTTATCGTTGGATAAACTAGTATAAAAAATAAAATCTAAAAAGCCAAATTTTCTTTTATCACTTCGTCTTTTAGGCAATCGTCTATCGAGATCAGGGATTGATAAAGGATTTTTCTGCTTGTTGATCTTCCTCTTCAGCTGTCTCTTTACTGCAGTTTCTTCTCATTAAAAACATGTAACTGGGAGATCACCAACGAAAATGTAGCTCTCTTGCTCTACGAAGATGAAGTTACTAGAGAAAGTTGCTAAGGTGAAAGAATGTTTTTTAAGAGACTAAAAAATCATCAACTTTGCAGAAACAGCTGTTGTGATCTACTTAGTTCAGTCATATATACCCCGCTGCATATTCAAATTTACAGAAATTTATTCAGTTATTCAATAACCAGATAAGGAAATTTTGCTCCTTTTTTATTTCTTTCTTTTCTTTTTCTTTTTCATTTAAAATCTATTACTGAAAATTCAAATTATCAATGATGTGGTGCAGTAAATGCATTTTGTTTTGCTGTCAATTTCAGTAGCTTTTTTCTGTTAAGAAATAAAAGCAAAAACAATTACTTTGATGCATGCGCAAGCGGAAAATGGTAGGGTGATAAATACGATAAAATATGACAATATGGTCAGCAGCCATCCGCAGAAACCAAAATCCACAGCAGCAGTCGCTGAAAATATAATAGTTTCATAGCAATACCGTAATTTTTTTAAAATTTTTTAGAAGTTATGTGAAAAATGACCTAATAAACACCTCTGCACTTATATTGAATAACCAAAACAACAGTCAAACAAAAAAGCGTTAGAAATTTAAAGGTCAATTTTTTGAACAACTCCACGATTATTACTGTGCTTTTTTTTTAACAACTAACTTCCAAACAAATTTCCGACAACATTTCAACAGTATTATCGCTTCACTGTACTGATCAACAAACATGGAAAAAACAAACGCAGATTTGCTCATCCAAATATACGCACACACACTCGAAAACAGAACAAAACGCCGAGGCGGATACTCAGAAACACACACACGCAGGTACATATGTACTGTTCCCGCAAATGATTAATAAGAATTTCAGTAAAAATCTTTAGATTGAAAAAAATAAGAAAGACAAAAGATTAAAAAGAATTTCAGAGGTTTTTACAGAAAAAATATTTGCTTTTTCTGCCTTTGTCTTACAGTTGAATGCTGTTATACTTTCCTTTTCACAGAAGGTAAGAACAGTGGAAGTAGACTGAGTTTTTTAATTTTCTGAACAATTAAATTTGTTTAGCATTTTTGCTCTGCGACAGTTTGATTATTTACATGTTGACGTAACTCGACAATGTTTGAACGTCAATAGAATCAATAAAAAATTAAAATTTTATTCTTTGCTAATTCAAAAGAAAAAAAAATGAAAGAAAGAGGAAAAAAGATAACTGAAAGAAATATCTATTCGGTTTACATGCATTGAAGGTTGTTGCATTCAACTGGTTAATGCAAAATGTGTTTTGGTGTTATTTAACAAGCATCAGAGTTACATTAAAACCTGTAACTGTCATTGACAATTCTCCACAAATACTGACAAAATCACTATGCTTGTCAGCATTACTGGCAGTATGCTTGACTAGTACAGTTACTCAATTTTAGTCTGTACTAGTTCCTGAACAAACAGCTCCAAATGTATACAGAATTACTTCACAAACCGTAATAGCCAATACTGATACCTGTAGTTTCTGGTTGTTAAAAACTGATTTAAAATGACGTTAATTTAAAAGTCTAAAAATTTCAAACAATTTCCATTAAATTTATATCAAGTTTTTTTCAGATAAAACAGCGGTAATTGTATTCTATCTGTTATTTTAAAGCTAAAGTTTAAAAAAAGAAAGTTGAAATTAAAGAATGATGAGGCAAGTGAATGCTGCTGAGCTGTGCTTATTTGTCTGTTCGTTTATTTGTTGACTTGTCGTTTTTTTTTCTGAATCAAACAAAATTGTCTCAAGAAAAAAAAAAACAATTATTCTTTATCTTTATTTTCTTAATTTTTCTGCTTAATTTTTTTCCTGGCCTTCCCCTTTGCTAGTCCAATGCCGCTTCCTTAGGCTGCAATTAAACTTAAGAGAACAAATGAAAGCAACACTGCTTTAAAAGTTAATTATATTTTTAATTTTTCATGTATACATATATGCATTTATAGTTTATTTATTTATGTAAAAACCTGTGCAAAAAGCAAGTACTGCTAAAAAAAAGCTGTCGACTTGAAATAAGGGAGAAAATGAAAAAAGACAAAAAAAAAAACTGCAAGCAAATATCAGGTGTTCCCCGAGTATCGGGGTTTTTTTTTGCTTGTATTTCAAAAAACACGAGAGAAGTTACTGTATCGCCCACAGAACACCTCTTTGAATATTTAATTTAAATTTTATTTTGCCACGAATTTATTGCTATTAACAGCTCTATTTCACAAAAAAATTCACTTTACGTGCGTCATCAACCAATTCTCTTGGCTTTGGGAAACGGTTACAGAAATTGCAACTGAATTTTTTAGACAACTCCTCCGGCTCTCGAAAACGACTTCAAAAAAAACTGCATTTATGGTGGAAGAATAAATAAAAAAGGTGGAGATGAAAGAAATAATAAAAAAAAAAACCACACACTGAAACATTTACCTGCTTTTTTCTATCTGTCATTTAGTGACTTTTTTTTTTAAACTTATTTTTCTTAAAGAAAATGCTACACTAATGTTGTTGTTAGAATTTTTAACGTTTACAACTGCTTAATTTAACTGGTTTACTTAACCGATTTGCTCCCAAATAAACACAAAAATTTGGATACAGTAAAAGATAATTTTTAACAATAAACTGTCGTTACGGTCTTAAACCGTTTTTGTGGACATTTCATAATTTAACTTTTACGACTCTTCGTTATTCTTTCTTTTCTTTCTGTTGTATCAATTTAGACAATAAAAAATAATAGAAAAAACACTGTTTTTATTCATTGTTTTTCTTGGTGTTAACCTAATGAAACTATTTCGAAGAATGTTTGAAGGAAAAGCTAAGTAGAAAGTTAAAAAAAGAAAAAAATTTTTGAACCAATATGAAAATTGTTTTGATTCAAAAAGGAAAAAAAAGAGAAAAGTAGCATAAAAAATTAAATGTATTTTTTCATATAAAAATAAAGAAATCCTTGCTTTTTTTTTCTCGTCGTGTTAAACAAGAAAACAGATTGCTTTTTTCTTCTTTCCTTCTTTATTTGTTGCTGTTTTATTCAAATGTCAAACTGTTTTTTTTGTTTCATTTTCTTTTTGCAGTGAAGAAAAGGAACCAAGAAATAATTTTAATATACAATAATTCCTCCACTAATTTTTTATTTCTTTTTTTCGCTCTTTTTGACAACAACAAAATTTTTAGCAGAATGTAGCAGCAAAAAAAAAAGCAAAGAATAAAAAAGTTAACTGTCACATGTGCTGTTGAATATCAATTTTATATAACATATGTAGTCAGTGTATCTGTTTTTTTTTCCCCTCTTATCCCTGTTTATTATGGATTTTCTACTCGCCAAATATTTTTGTGTCAATTTAAAAAAAAATGGTATCAGATTTAAAAAGCAAAAAAAAAAAAAATGAAAAATAAACAGAGGATTTAGATTGAAATAGAAGTATTCTTTTTTTCTGACAACAAATGTTTAATTGCAAATAAAGAGATGAATAATAAAGAGAAAATGGTTAGTAAAAAATGGTGAAAAATTAAACTCTGATAGACAATTTCTGTTTTGTCGTTTAGCCACTTTAACCATGTTTCTGTAGCCAATTACATCTGCTAAACAAACGGCACGGCAAAAAGCTAGCAGTATCAATTTTTTTTTTACTTTCTATTACACTAATCACTGTCATTGAGGTGTTTAGTGCTTTACAGATTCTATGACCATAGCAGTCCCAAATTCTCAGTGTTCATTTTTCGCTCAAATTCAATCCCATTCTGTTTTTCTTGGTTGACAAAAAAAACCAACTTTTAAAAGAAATAACATTTTCCCCGTTTTTTTTTTTTTTTTTTTTTTTTTTTTTTT